TGTGCTCCGATTCTAGAATGGCAGATAAATGCCTATTAAGCTCATTAAACTAAATCTGCTGTAATCTTCTCTTTTGACAATAGTAAATCATGATGGGAGCACAACAACATGCATGAATTTAATGATACTTAAAAATGGTTAAAATTGTAAACTTTATCTTATTTGTATTTGGCAACAATGAAAACGAATAACTTCAATAAAAATTTTTAAATTCACACACACAGAATAAATTTTTTACAATTTTTGTTTTTAGCTCTTTAAACTATTTTAAGTGCCAAATCACTGATGACCGCCGCAGGCCCCGTGGCATGGTCAGGTACCCAGAGACTTTCCTGTCTGGGATTTTCTTCCACAGAGGACCCAGCCTCTGAAAGGGCACTCTGTCCGGCCTGGCACTACCTGGTCTGGGGCCCCATTCACACCCACCCGCCTAGTCCCTGCTCTGTGGCCTCAGCACCCACCTCCCCGCAACCAAGTGGCTTCTCCCACATTCTCTGGCAGCCTAGGATGTCCCATGTACACACCTGGATCTGGTCTCCCAGCCACTGGAATGCAACAAATCCGGGTTCTGTTCTGATGACAAAGAGTCCAAGGGCAAACTGTAGTGCAAGGCCCCAGGACACGGCCCGCCAGGACACCTGTTACCCACCCGATAGAAAGACACCGTGAGCTCAGCTCTTGGAGGATGGGCAGGGAACAGGGTGGGGTGAGGGCCGCAGGCATGGACTGCTGAGGAATGATGGGAGCTTTGGTCTGACTGTCAGATAGGGGCTGGGCCCAGCCAGGGCCTAGGGCCACATGCCAATGGTCACATCTTCCCTTAGATTCAGAACAGGCTGGGCTCTCAGCAGCAGCAGGCCAGGGCAGTGGGCAAGACTCAATCAAGAGCCCGTGTGAAACTTGAGCAGCTTTGGACGTGCCACAGCACTGTGTCCCTGGGCCATCACTGGGCGAAGAGCCAGAGTCGTGCCTGGGGGTCTGGCCTCCAGAGAAAACAGATCTGAGGACCAGGCTCAGACTGACCAGAGGGCCTGTCACCAAGGAAACAAATGCCTCTGAGTCTGCACTTGATCTTAGCCAAAGTGGCCGATCAGCCATAGCCTCTGAGTCTGCAAAGACACCCAGGCAGCATCCCCTGCCCCACTGGGGAGTTTGAGGATTTCTGCTAAGAGAGGTGACAGCCCACTTGGCACCTCTCGTCCTGGGATCTCCTTCCCCGGCCTCCCAGGGGCCCTGTCCTGATACCCACTGTCTTCCCCAGGCTCTGAGCCTCCGGGGCTCTCCCAGCAGGAGCATCTGCTCCCATCCCAGCCCACAGATCCAGCCCAGGGCCAGAAGAGAGACGCGTTCACTGGCTTCCAGGCCACACCTGACAGATTAGCACTCACTGCGCAGTGATGCTTCGAGCAGGCAAAGAGAACAGCGATGAACACACACATTCCTGCGAAGGACACCAGCTGCTCAGGCCGCCGGGAGGTGTCCAGAGACAGCCACAGGACCAGGAACAGGAGAGCCGCAAGAGCTAGGCCCCTGCAGGGGAGAGGCAGAAAGCCATCACCGTTGGCGTGTCCCCACCTAGAGACACACACACACACACACACACACACCTACACACACACACACACTCACTAGCACCCAGAGAAAGGGTACACAGGGCAGAGAGAAGGAGAAAGGATACAGCACCGTGGCAAGAGCACAAGCTCTGGATCCAGATACTAGGAAGTGCCACTCAAGCTGTGTGGCCTCTGGCAGACCCACTGGCTTCTCTGAGTCTAGTTTCTTCATTGGTCCAGTGAAGCCAAAGACCCCTCATTTCTCGAGGTGGCTGGGAGGATTAAATAAGATGATGTGTGTCCCAAGGTTAGTGTGCTGCCCAGCACATGGCTTCACCCAGGTATGGGACTCTCACAGCTGCAATGACGCTCAGCCCAGTCTCTGACCTTGAGGGAGGAGGGGCCTGTGTAGCCCAGGACAGAGCACTGTGGGCCTCGCTCCCAGACACCTAGGAGCAATAATGTCAGTCTGGAATGCTGACGCAAGCACCTGAGACCAAGGCCTGGACCCAACCTTGACAGCAACACTCCCATTTCTGGGTCTGGGCTTTGCTTGTCCAGGGGACAGCCCAGCTCTGAGCATCAGGAGCTCAAGGGCTGCCCCCAACCTGGTCATCAACTCACCGGGTTCTAGTAATGACAGGTGATGTTCATTGACATTGACACCTATTATGTGGCAGGTGAGTGCTGAGAACAATACTGTTACTGTCCTTCTTTTAGAGATGAGGAAACTGAGGCACAGAGAGGCTAAAACGACTGGTCAAGGCCACCTGTCGAAAGTTGGACCCAGCGCTGAGGATTCTAGACCAGACCCTATGCAGCAAGGTCTAGTCTCCTCAATGCAGTCTCTATTCGCTCATAAGAGACCCAGGTCTGAACTCAAGCAGGATAACACTCCGGCCAGACTACCCTTGTCTTTGTTCATGTTTCTCAACTCCATCATCCTCTACATCCCAGTGTTTTTCCTTGCCCTGTGTCCTGCGCATCTTTGCTTAGTTTCTCGTGTTCAATGCATGTTTTGTTTTTGGTTTGTTTTTATGAACCAGCTTCTATCGGGCTTATCTGATACACAACAACGGCACATTTTTGATTACACATTTGATGTTTTTGACAACACGTATCACCCCTTGACACCATCCACTCACAATCGAAGATAATGCCATACACAGCTACGCCTAACCCCAGAAGTTTCCTTGTGCTCCATTGGGATTCCTCATGACATTTTTACTGTCTCCATGGTTTTGCCTTTGCTTGTTTGCTTCCTTTGCCAGAATGCCAGATAGCTTACACTCATACCAGTATGGACCTCTTTCAGATCCGCTTCTTTCAATTACGACATGCACTGTAAGTTCCCATGTCCCTTTATCTAGCTTGATAGCATCATTCTTCTTTTTAGCACTTGCAGTACTATTCCATTGTCTGGATGTAACACATTTACTTATCATTCACCTAATGGACGGATACATCTCTGATTCTCTAAGTTTTGCGAATTAGAATAAAGATACTTACCCACCATCCAGTGCAGGTTATGTGAAGTATACACTTGCTTCTTATTACCCCGCACGTTCTTTTAACTGGGGTTTTAGACCATTTACATTACACTAAGTTACTTGGTATAGGTGGTTACACTAACATCTTACACTCTATTGATTTTCTACTGTTGTCACATTGGCTTCTTTTTTTCCATTCTTCCTAGTTTTCTATCATCTTTCAGATTGACTATTTCTTAAGGAAGAATCCTCCTCTTATGCACTGCGTTAGCGTAACTCTCTTGATTGTGTTACTGTGTGGATACGTTATATCTAATATATGCAGATTTAAATTGCGTAGTCCTCCTTGCAGTGTGTGTACTACTCATCATCAGGGGTATATTACCAACAGTATAATTTCATTTCTTCCCTCACATTAAAGCTATGTTTTTAAACTTCTTTTAAAAAAGATTTTTCGCCTCCAGCAAGAGCAAGCCGCCATGTCTACTAAAATACGAAAAAGAAATTCAGCCGATGTGGTGGCACACCCTGTAGTCCCACTATCTCTGTGGCCTGACAGGAGATGGCTCTGAGCCAGGAGTTGAGATTGCTGCTGAGCTAGGCTGACACACCCAGATAACCTAGGCAGACGCGCAAGACATCTTCTCACAAGAAAAAGATATAAAAAAATAAAAATAAAAAAGATTTTTTATAGCTAGGGTTTTGCTATGTTGGGCCAGCTGGAGTGCAATGGCTCGTTAACATGTGTGATCACAGTGCACTGGAACCTCAAACTCCTCGCCTTCAGTGATCCTCCCACCTCAACCTCCTGAGTAGCTGGGACTATAGGCATGTGCAAATGCACTCAGCTATTTACTTCTACATATATAAAATAAATTCCACAGTATATCTTGATTATTCTTGTCTTATAAGTTGATTACATTTTAAAAATATGTCTAAATAATAAAACAAATAGTCATTGTATTTACTCATGGAGTTACCTATTGGGGGGCTCTTCATTCCTTTCTATAGAACCAGGTTTTTATCTGGTATCATTTTTCTTACGTTTGAAGAATTTCCTTTAACATTTCTTAGAGTGAATGTCAGGTTTATGCCTGCAAAATTATTTCAGCTTTTGTACATCTGGAAAAAGGTCTCATTTCCCCTTCTTTTATGGAAGATATTTCACTGGTAAAGAATTCTAGGTGGACAGGTTTTGGGGGTTGTTGTTCTTTATTGTTCCACTCTTTTCTCACATGTTTTTAAGTAGAAATCTGCTAGTAATCCATACTATTTGTCTTTTCTTCTGCATTTGTTAAGATTTTCTTTTTATCACTGGTTTTAAGCAATTTGATTATGAGGTGTCTTTGTGTTGTCTTCTTCATGTTCCCTGTGCTGGGGGTTCATGGAGCTTCTCGAATCCTGGGGTATAAAATCTTTAGGAAATTTGTAATTTTTTTGACACTATTTCTTCAAATATCCTTTCTGCCCTCCTTCTCCTTTGTTGACACCAATGCATGTATATTTGCCCACTTAAAGTTGTGCTGTGGATAACTGATGCTCCTCTGTTTGACTCTTTTGGGTTTTGTCTAAGATTTGTTGGGCAGGGCCTGAGAAGCATTTATTCTGGGGTTAATTGTTTTCCATTCCACTGAGCCAAGACCCTTACTATTACTCACAGTGTCCTGTGAATTATGATGAGGTTTTTCCACCCGGGCTGTTGGGACACTATTCCTGACCCTGTGTGATTCTCCTAGGCCTCGGGGAGTTTCCTCAGGTGCATCCACTGGTCAGAACTGCACTGGATGTTCAGGGAGGACTCTCTGCATCTCTCTAGATCTTTCTGTCTGCGTCCCTCTCTCTCCTCTGCTACTCTGCAGTGTGAACTCCAGCCACCCTGTCTTCCCAGGATTTCCAGCTCTGTCTCTTCAACTTAGGGCATCTGCTGCCCCATTCTAGTTCTCCTTCCCTGTGGGGGGCCAGGAAACCCTCTCCAGATAGTAAGCTGGGACGATCACAGGGCTCACCTCATATGTTTCCTAGTTCTCAAAGATCACTGTCTCTTATTGCCAAATATCTAATATCACGAGAGCTTGTTTCACATTTTTGTTCCAGTGTTTTTGTTGTTTCAAGTGGGAGGGTAAACCTGGTCTCCGTTACTTCATCTTGACTGGAAACCAAAATCAAATCCATGTTTTCTGTTTGTTTGTTTGTTTGTTTGTTTTTGAGAAAGAGTCTTACTCTGTCACCCCCGCTAGAGTGCAGTGGCATCATGACAGCTCACTGCAACCTGAAACTCTTGGGCTCAATGATCCTCCTCCCCTAGCCTCCCAAATATCAGGGACTACAGGTGCACACCACTATGCCTGGCTCATTTTTCTTTTGTATTTTTGGTAGAGATGGACTCTTCCTATGTGGCCTAGGCTGGTCTGGAACTCCTGGCCTCAGGTGATCCTCTTGCCTCAGCCTCCCAAAATGCTGGGATTACAAGCATGAGCCACCATGCCAGGCCCCAAATCTATGTATTTTTTAACAGCTTTCTTGAGACAAAATTCACATGATATAGAATTTGCCCATGTAAAGTAGATGGTTCAATGGTTTTTAGTAGAGTTAACGATTTGTGCCACCATTACCTCAATCCTAGAACATTTTCATCAGCCCAAAAAGAAGCCCTGACTACTGGTCATCACCCTCTAATCTTCCCACACACTCCAGCAATTACTACTCTATTCCTGTCTCCATAGATTTGCCTGTTCGGGACATTTCATGCAAATGGATCTTGTGGTTTGTATATTTTCAAGACTCGCTTCTTTCACTGCACATAACATTCTCAAGGTTTATCGTTATTTTAGTATTTATGAGTACTAAAGTCCTTTTATGGCCCTATAATATTCCCTTGTATGGACATATAAATTTTCCTGTCCATTTTTCAGTTGATGGATATTTTTAAAATTTCTACCGTTTGGCTCTGATGAATAATGCTATATAAACACGTGTGTACCAGTTTTTGTATGGACATATGTTTTCATTTCTCTTAAGTATATACCTGGGAGTGGAATTCTTTTCTTTCTTTCTTTATTTTATTTTATTTGTTTATTTATTTTGAGACACAGTCTTGCATTTTGCTCTGCTGCCCAGGATACAGTGCTGTGGTGTCAGCCTAGCTCACAGCAACCTCCAACTCCTAGGCCTCAAGGGATCATCCTGCCTCAGCTCCTGAGTAGCTGGGACTACAGGCATGCTCCATCACACCCAGCCAATTTTTTCTATTTTTAGTATAGGTGGGGTCTCGCTCTTGCTCAGTCTGGCCTTAGACCCTGAGCTCAAGCAACCCTCCTGCCTTGGCATCCTACAATGTTGGGATTATTGCTGTGAGTCACCACTTGTGGCCCAAAAGCTTTTAGTTTTTATAAAGTACAATTTATCTGTATTTTTTAAAACAAACTCTGCATCAATCCCTCAAATGAAAAACTATTATCAGTGACTTGTCATAAATAGAAGACCACTGCCCTTGCCCTGCCTCGGAGCTTGAGCTCACTCACCTCTTAGCCCAGAGCTCCAGGTGGGGGTGGCTCTGAGGCTTCTTACACTTTGTCAGCTTTGGCACCAGAAGCCTCTTCAGCAAGCCATAGGCTAAGAAGGCGAGGACCACACAGGTGAGCACGAACAGCCCCAGGGCCCTCTGGAAATTCCGGATGCAGGCAACCAGCAGGAAGACAGCGTACCCTGGGGGACGAGACCGGGCAGGGGGCTGGATGACCATCCTGCCTCTCCAGGCCCCTGCAGCCCACCACAGACACCACCTTACTCCATCCAGAACTTGGAGGGCAGGAAGGTCCCCCAACCTCTCTGAACCTCAGTGTCCTCATCTGCCAGTGAAAACAATCATCCCTCCTGTGTCCAAAGGGTGTTATGAGCTCATTGGCAGAATGTGTGAAAGGGCTTTGCAAACTGTAAAGTGCCGACCAACTGGGAGGGAGATGTGTACGAGGCCGTGAGGCCAAGCAGCATGGATGTCTGGGCGTCGAAGGAGCACCTGCCATGATCCGAGCCCTGCTAGGATGGAGGACGGAGACGAACAAGTCAGTTGCTCTGTGAAGGAGTTCGCGTGTGTGTGCCAGGCCTGTGTTCTGGAATATGAGTCCATCGTCTCCTTCCAGGAATGTCCTCTTCCCCCTTTGCCCTTCTCTCCTTTAAGTGGCTGAGCCGCTCTGTGTTCACACCTCCAGAAATGTGATTGTGGACACAAAGGGCAAATGTCTCTCTCTGGCTTCTGAATTTCAAAACCCAGGGTCCTTGAAGAATGGAAAGGACTTAGCCATGGACTAAAAAAAGTGATCTGAAATATTAGTTTTAGTTTCTTGCCACCAAAGTAGCTAAAGCATGACAAGAGCAATGACACTGGTGGCCCCAGGGAAAGGGTCTGGCTTGTGATGCCATAGCCAAAGCCAGCTGTGTCTGCGGCACCGCAGGCAGAGCAGCCCATGCCACACTCCCTGTGCACGCACAGGGAGGTGCCAGGGCTGGCGAAAGAGGAGGCCTATGTGAGTGCGGCAGACAGAGCCTGGGACAGCTCTGAGCATCAGCAGGCCCTGAGCAGCAGGAGCTGTCCCCACGAGAAGCTCGGAAGAGGACAGGGAAGGAAGGCCGGAGCAGGCCACTGCTGGAGACAGGGGCATCCCCAGGGCCACCTGCCTACAAAGACACAGAACTCGGACCAGCTGGAGAAGTGGACAGGTCCATAGACACTAGAGGCAATTTTCATTCTCTACTGGAGAGAGAATTTGATCATTTCTTCTTTTTCTTTTCTTTCTTTCTTTCTTCTTTCTTTTCTTTTTTTTTTTTTGTAGTGACAACCCAGGAATCAATCACTTCTTCAATAGAAGCAAATATCAGTCTGCAAGGGCACAAGAGAGGCTGCCAAAAGAAGGGCCCTGCCAAAAGAAGATTTCATTGTCTGGACACGCTCCATGGAAGGAAGCCGAAGGACATGGACCAACCCCATCTTAGCAGACTGGGTCACTGCTGTCTCACTCTTCACATCCCTCCTTCCCTGGTACCTACAATGGCCTCTGCATCCACACACATCCTCTCTTCTTGTCTCACAACCCAAGAGCACAAGTGAGCCTACGCTAGGCACACCTGCCCCTGCCTGGGCCTGGGAGCCCTTCTCTGTGCCCAGAGGATCTTGCTCCATCCGTCACCTCTTTATCCCCTGTCCTTCACATGCTTTCTACACGCTCTTGCCTCAGCTCATAGACACATGCCCGTCCTTGACACCTTGTCACACCCACCACTCATACTCCTGCCCTGTTCTCAGAAAAAATTTCTCCAAAGGGCTGTCTACACTTGCTGTCTACACTGCCTCAGCCGCCTTCACTCCAGTCCACTTGTTGGAACTACATCTTATGACACCAAGGTGCCTCTTGTCCCTGCATCAGTGGACACTGCCACGCTACTCAGTGCATATCACTTGGACCAGCTATCGGTCTTTCCCTTCTTCTTGAACCCCTTCGCTCTCCGGGACTCTGGCTCCCGCCAAACCATCTATGTAACTGGTCCCCAGGCTTTTGTCCCTCACCAGCTTCCCAATCCATTCTCCTAGTGTCCCTGGGCACCTTCTCTTCCCCTGCGTGGCCTGGCAGTTGTGTCTCCAGCAAACTGTCTGAGTTACCCCTCCGGCTGCTCAGCCATGTGCCCCAGCTCTGCGGGGGGGCACCATCGTCCTCTGATACACAAGCAGGAACCGAGGCAGGCTTGACTCAGGGTCTCCTTCGCCTTCACACGCGACCAATCCCGAGTCCCGCTCCTCTGCTTCCCCAGGGCCCATCCACCCCGCCGTCCTTCACCCCTGCGCTCTGACACAGGCACCGTGGCCCTCAACATGCCCTTCTCCCTGTCTGTGCTGCCCCCTCCCACGGTCCCACAGAGTGAATTCAGCCTTGACACTTCGGGTTTAAACCTCCAATGTTCTAGATCTTAGGAGCAAGAATAAAATAAAATACGAAGTTAAACCCTCCAATTGTGCACTCTGGTCTTGAGGGCAGAATCCAGGTCTAGACTTTATCAAAACCCACACCCTGACAGTTTTCACCTTTGCTCCTCTGCATGGGGTGTCTCCCACTTCTTATTGTTCCTCCTCTCCATCTGGCTAACTCCTGCTCCACCTGTCAGACCCCAGTGTCACCTCCTCCTGGAAGTCCTCCTTGACCTCCCTGCCCTACTTGGTGCTCCAAGAGGGCTTCCTGTCTTCCCTGGGAATGTCCTTTCTCCTCCCTCACTGGAGAGAGAGCACCTCAGGAATAGAATCTGGTCCCATTAATGAATGACTCAGTGCCCAGCAAGGGAGATGGCCTGGAGCTGCTGCTCAACCCTCATGTGTTGCATGTGCGGGTAAGTGAACAACCCTGCCCTGAGACATGGACAGCTGGGGCAGGAGTCATTGTCCCCTGGGCAGGGCTCACCAGTACAGAGCAGGCCTATGCAGATGCGTCGAATCAGCTGCTTGTGCTCCCTGCAGAAGCGTCTCACTCTCTGGGCCGGCCGCAGGATCCTCCTGGGAATAGGACCAACAGGTCCGAGAGTGGTACTCCAGACTCCCACTGCAGTGGGGATCCTTAGCACCTCCAGGCCGAAGTCACTCAGGTGTGTCCCCGGTAAAATGGTGACAGGGCAAGCTGGGCACTGGCCTTGACATCCCACAGGGATGAGGGGAACCCCAGCTCAGAGCAAACCGAGAAGTGGTTCAGGTCTTCCTGTCCCTATGTCTCCACAAACTGTGCCTTTGGCCTGGGGCAGCGCCCACAGTCCCACCACCCCAGTGATGCCCCTGCCTGCAGGGCTTGCGGGGGAATTCACTGATCAGGCAGAACCTTCTCAACACACAGACCTGCCCTCCAGATGGTGGCTGCCTCCCTTCCCCAACCACAGAACAAGGTGCAAAGGCTCCGGCTGTGACCAGGACACTTATCAGCCCAGTCGGCAGCTCCTGTTCCCTAGAGAGGACTCTGGAAGCAGACCATGCCCTGCAGGGCAGCCACGTGGCCCTGCGTCCATGCTTGCCTGGCCATTTGATCACTCATGGGCACCCGGGGCAAGGCTGCTCCCTGAGCAGCTCCGGGCTCCCCTAGGCTGAGCATCTGCTAGATGCTCCCCCAGTGCTCCCCCGCACCCACCCAGCTGCTGTTGCCAGAGCCTCTCGCCAGCACCCAGGTCCTGAGAGGGTGAGGGAGGCGTGTTCCCCCATTCCCCACCTGGGCAGACAGATGAGACCCTTCCGCCACCACCACCACCCCGGGGGGGTCCCAGGGGTAGGGACATCCCGAGGTCCCGGGGCCTGGGACATCAGGAACCAGAGTTCTGGGCACACCCGGTCCACTCACTGCCTGTGCAACTGGACCTGTCAGTCCCTTTCCCTCTCCTGGCTTTGGCCTCCAGTTGACAAACGCTGGCCTGGCCCAGTCCAGGAGTTTCCAAACTGAACCTCGGGGCTCCCCAAGGTGCCCGGAGCCTGGATGGGGTGGAAGCAGCTGGGGGAGGTTGACCAGGAGGCCTGGCTGGTCGGGGCCTCCTACCCAGCTGCAACCAGAGCAGCCCCCCAGCACCTGTGGGGTTCCCAGTGGGACTCCACTCTGGCTGCTTAAACGTAGGTGGGGAACCCTCGGCCGGGGTCGCCTCTGAGGCTCATCTGCCTGCGAGTGAGCTAAAGCGCCATCACTGCTTCCTTCCACTGAGGTGCGCGGAGCCGTCCCCCCATCGTCAGGAGGTGGCTCCCCCCATTCCCCAAGGTGGCCTCCACCCACCCAGGCCCTCACAGAGGTCACCTACCAGGTGGAGAGGGGCTCCGGCCCCACCTCACTCCGGCTGTCCCCGGCCTCTGTGGGGCTCGAGTCCTTGTCAGGCAGCCGTCCGTCCTCCTACAGGCAACAGGGAGCCATCAGGTCAGACAGAGCTGAGGGACAAGAGAGGGAGACCCTGGCCACACGGGGACACCCACAGGCCCCTCCCGAGTGGGCTGAGGCGGGAACTGGACAGTTGCACAGGAAGGAATTAGAAGGCTGCTTAACTAACTTCCGCAACGCATGCACCGAGCGCCTGCTATGTGTAGGGCTCTGCCCTCAGGGTCATGGTCTTCATCAGGGAGGGACACCTGTGACTGAGGTGTGGTGGCAGGGCCAGGAGGGGACTCTAAGGAAGGCCACGGGCAGAGCTTCCTGATCAATGACTCGGGCGCCATGTGCCCACAGGCTGTGGGGGGGGCTGGGCGAGGGGTGGACATTGCTGCAGACAATGGTGGGAAAGGTGCACCCTGGGGGACACAGGGCCGTGAAGGGAGGAGTGTTGCCATGGAGGTTAGGAGGGTCACACAAGACACCAAGTCCCTGGGTGGTGTGACCTGGGCAGTTTGGGAGTGAGGACAAGATGACCAGAGCCTTGAAGGCTGAGGCATCCTCCGAGATCCCTCTCCGAGCCCCATTCATCTGCTTCCTATTCTCATTCTTTACATCACAGCTCAACTGTCACTTCCTCCTTGGGACCCTCCCTGCCCTGCACGCTAGGACAGGCTGTGTGGCACAGAGTAGATGCTCAGTAAACGTTTAATGAGTGAAATAAAGGGGGCTGATTTGTGCTGCAGAGGCCGACAGGTTGGGGTTTCTTAACTGTGCAAAGAGGTGAGGAGGAGGCGGCAGAGGAGGGTGAAGGAGGACGGGGAGCAAAGCCCCCACCAGCAGCCGGGACTCAGGCGAGGAGGAGGGGAGGCCAGGACCATGCATGGGAAAGGGACAGACCAGGCTTTCCACAGTAACGGCTCCCGCATTCTCCAGACTCTTGGCCCTGGGTTTGAGAGAGACGGACTCCCCTCGGCTTGGCTTGTCGTTCTCCATGTGCCAGACCTTCCAGCTGCAAGACAAATCGGGGAGGCCCAGAGCTGAAAGGGGAGGGCTGGGCAGGGCCCAGGATGGGGCCTGGGAAGGGAGAGAGGGCTAGGTCGGGGCAGATGCCTGGCGCAGCAGAGCCTCACAGGGGTCCGCCTGCGTGTCCCCACACCCACGCAGAACCATGCCTGTGGGCCACGCCTTGGTCCCCAGCACATGGAGAAGGTCCCCCTTCCTGCACTTACCTCTGACCCTGTGAGAGGCAAGTCCTGTAAACCTGGGAGTTCCAGGCACAAAGAGCACATTCTGCCACTTCACGGGGAAGGACAGCATGTGTGTGCATCCAATATAGGCATTTTCTGGAGAGGCGCTAGCTTTCATCACTTGTCACAACAGGTTAAAACCACTGCCATTAAGTGCTATCTCAGTTGTATTATACTACTCTACCTCTGAAAGATGGAGACACACATCCTGAAGACATCCTTCCAGTCCCTGGATCGAACAGCAGCTGAAACCCATCCTACCCTTGGATCTTTCACTGCCAGAGCTAATATAGTCCCTTTTTAACTGGAGCTCAGTTCATAGGCTTAAGCTTATCCTTAAGTAAGAGTGCCAACTAACACCTCCTCCTCATCTCTCCCCATTCCTGTTCCCTCACCTTTTCTGACCTTGAGGAACACCCTACTCTGTCCAAACGCCAGCCTGCTTAGCTGACATGCCCAGCGGCATGTGCATGGACATGCATGCAGACACACACACACAACAAGGACAGAGCCTGGATGAACCCTGTGAACACACACAGACTGCACACAGAAAAGCAAGGTCCTATTTCTACTCACAGATCTGGGGTTAGTAGATGGCTCTCAGGGAGAGACAGAAGTGCACGTTTCTGTGGGGACAAGCTGTGTCCAACCTGCCTTCCCTTTGGCCCTTCTTCTCACTTCCGCAGAAATTCCTGGGCAGAGTCCAGAGTGGGAGTAGGTTGGGCCCCAACCCAGCTCTGGCCAACGTCTCCCACAGCCCAGAGCCACAGCTGGGGTAGGGAACCAAACCCTATTTCAGGGCTACAGGAGGGAGCTGACCCCAGGCCTGTCCCGTGCAGTTCTACCCCCTCACTGTTTCTTCCCCACCCTGCCTGTTCCCTGAAGCCTTCCTCTGGGCCTGCCCCACCCACCTCTTCCAGGAAGCCTCTTGAGTAACTCCTGCCCTCCCTCCCTTCCCTCCTGTGGTAACTGAGGGAACAGCCTGAGAAAAGGGCATGAATGTTTTGCAAGCTGTCTTTTTAAAACTTCCCTGTTCTTTTTGGGAACGGAAACCAGCATCCCTATCTCTGACCAGTGGTTGGGAGGGGCAAGGGAATGTCCTTTGTACCACAGATGTCCTCCCAACAGCCTTCTGGGTGAGGGTGGAGATTGTCTTCCGCTGAGATGGGACAGATCAGAGTCATCAACTGTAGTTAAAGGGACATAGCCTGGAGCTGAAAGCCTCCCTCTAAAAGCTCTGTCTTTCTGCTTATAGTCAGGGAAATTGGGACGTTAAGATGGGAGTCTGCCAGTTTCCTCAACTGCCGGCAAATTAATAAAGCCCCCTTCCTTCTCTTCAATCCACTTGTCCTCGTTCTTCTGACATGGTCCTGAGGACAAGTGCTGAGCTTATCGGTAACACCGTAGCCTCCTTCCCCGGCCATCCATCCTCACCTGCTTTGGCATTTTATCTTTCATTTTGCATCTTAATGAGTCTGTCTTTCTCAATGGAGCAGTACTGATTATACCAGCAACCTATTATCCTAAGCTTGAAGATGAGGACAGCAGTGTAGCTGAGCACAAATAGTAAAAGTGTTCTAGGTCTAAGCATTGATACAGTCCCAAAACAAAATGAAATCACACCATTTCCCCCTTCATTTCATCTTTCTTTCTTTTAGTTTTTTCTTTTTTCTTTGGACAGAGTCCCGCTCTGTTGCCCCATTTGGTGCTCACTGCAACCTTAAACTCCTGGGCTCAAGGGATCCTCCTGCCTCAGCCTCGTGAGTAGTTGGGACTACAGGTGTGTGCACCACTATGCCCAGCTAATTTTTCTATTTTTATAGAGATGGGGTCTTGCTATGTTGCTCAGGCTGGTCTTGAACTCCCACGTGGCCTCCCAAGCGATCCTCCGGCCTTGGCCTCCCAAAGTGTTTAGATTACAGGCATGACCCATCCTTCCTAGCCTCATTTCATCTTCTTTGAAACCAACATCTAAGCAAGAGTATGCAAAGTGAAGGCACAAACTCTTTAGTATGCAACCTTCAGACTAAACATTAAACCAATCTGACAGATATTTAACAATATCTCCCTAATAATTAATGGTGCACACTGAGGACAAAATCCTGTTTGAAGCACAAATACCTCCCAGAGCACAGGGTGTGCAGTTACCTGCTCATGTTGGCTGTTTGGAAGTTTGGAGAGGACGATGCATGGAGAGTACGGCCACCCCCTCTTTGAAATCACTTTTGTTGTCATGTGTCCTTCAAATTACCAAAGCATTACAAGTGCACCGTTAAACATTTAAACGTTGTAGAAATACACAGAATGCAGGAAGTTAAAATCCTAACCTGAGCCCCCTGGGGATGGTGACTACTGAGTTTGTGGCATTTTTCTCCACTTTTTTCCCTGAATGTATATCATTTTATGTTATTCATTTTCCAACAGGGGATCACGCTACACCAGCATTCTCACAGTTTGATTTTTCCAGCAGGGATCTATACCCTGTTGGGCGCCCGTTGCCACCTGGGTAAACTAAATGTTTCTCCTGAGCAGGACACCTGTCTCCATGGGCACCCTGTGTGGCCATGGGCTCGGAGTTGCCCACATTAAGCCTGACTGAAGGGTAAGTAGACCGTACCTGCTTCTCTGCCCCTACCCTGTTCTAATGCCTTCCCCTGCCCCTTGCATCCATTCCTCCTCTCTCCTGCCTTCCTCCTGCTGGCCTTTCCTCCCAGCCTTGGCTTGTCTCGGTGCCCAGAGGGAATCCAGGAGGCACAGCACATCCAGCAGCAGCCATGCTGGTTTCAGAACATTCCCGAGTTTGCAGCTTACAACCTTGACGTCACTGTGGGCCTGATCTCTCCAGCAAGGGTTCACTGGGCTGTGAATCAGGGGATGAACCTTCAGCTCAGAGCCCACAGGTCTCGATTCACTCCTGACTCTCTAGTTAACTTCTCTTCTGATCTGCAGAGCAGTGGGGAGAGTAACAGGACCTGTCAGGATAAAATGAGCGAAAGCACAAAAGTGCTCAGCAGGGAGCCTGGCACCATCAGGCTGGCAGGGGTCACTGCTGTCACAGCTCCATCCGGGGCTGTCTTGACACACTTTCCCCCTCCTCTAGGCCAGGAAATGCCCAGCTTCTCCCCTGTTCCTGCCCTCAAGGAGGGGTGGCCAGCATGGACCCCAGCCTCCAAAAGCCAAATGCTCTATTCAGGAGGAATTGGCTGAAAGCCACAGGCAGGGTGGTTGGGCGGCTGCACAGATCGGGATAGAGACCCCCAGGGACAGACTAGGAGCTGGAAGACCTCAGGTGTCCTGGCTCTGCCCACTAGCTGTGGGACCTCAGTGCTTCACTGGACCCCGTGTGGCCTATTTCCTGAGGACATAGTCTCTGAGGCCCAGCCCAACCCCCTGGGGCCAGCACAGAGTGAGGGGAAGGCTATACAAACATACGTGTATAATTTCCCTTTCAGTCCAGCAGCACTTAGGAGGGCTCAGCACGCAGAGACGGCTCCAGCTCGCCCAACCCTGCCCCACTCCTCAGGGGCATGTGACAGTCTCTGGTTTTAGTCCTTCTGTTGGCCCCTCCTGTTTTAGGGGGATTCTTGGCCAAAGAGTTAAAGAGAATCCCTTTCCTTTACAGACTCTGGTACCATAAAGAGGTTGTTGGTGTAAGTGGAGAGTGAGCCATTCAGTACCGTGTGAGCAACATTGTCAGAAGGGGTATCCAACAGTCTCCTCATTTTCTTCCCATGGTTTGGCCCACACACGTTTCGTGGCTCTTTGCGGGTCTCTTTCCTTGGCTGATTCACATGTCCAAGCAGTGGACATATAGGGAGGTTCATCCCCAGTCAAGTGAACATGATGAACATGACCTCATCATTGTCTTTCCTAAACCTGTAATGACTGGCAGAAAGGACACCCAGTGCGATATTTTCTTCCACATTTAGGGTATTGAAAAATGGACTTCCTATACTCTACAGTAGAAATATTTGAAAGCAGCAAGCATGTAAACCTTCCGAAAGCATAGAGCAAACTACAAAGACCGAAGAAGTAGCTCAGGCTTTTATACACTGTACTTATAAGTCTCATGAAATTTCTTGAGGGAAGGCACTAGCCCACGTCTTGGAGCACCGGGCTCTCCTGGCAACTACACAGCAAGCACAGGCATTCCCAGGGGATGGAAGCATTCCAATACCCCAAAGGGTAAAAGACCCTGAGCTGCTTGGCGTGATTATCCAAGGGTCCCTGAGATAGTCTAGCCCTTGACCCATCCTACTCACTGGGAACAGCTGGGCACATGTGGCCACTGTCCAGTACACAACGAGAGAGTGATCTGGGTTCATCTCCCTCATAGCAACAGAGGGTTGGTAGAATAAGGACAGCTGGTCCCGTGTCTATGTGGGTTCAAGCCCACAGGCAGGGGAAATTTTACCTAAGCAGTTCAGGGATCACTGTTTCCCAATATTTAATTGGTTGGTACTGTCTAAAGTGTATTTCCCTTGCTGTTGTTGTTTCACCTTCCCTCTTGCCTCTTCACCTCACTTAGCTCTTTATTTTATTTTGTTTTATTTTATTTCATAGTACTATAGGGGTACAAATGTTTTAATTACATAAATTGCATTTGTACAGTTGGACTCAGTCGTAAGTGTGCCCATCACCCAGATAGTGTGCATCATACCCATTAGGTGTCAATTTACTTGTCTCCTCCTGTTTCCTCCCACCTGCTTGATTTCTCATGAGTGCACATACCTGCTGTTTGTTTAGTTCCAATTTAATGGTGATTGCATGTGGTGTTTGTTTTCCCATTCTTATGATACTTCACTTAGAAGAAAGTTCTCCAGTTCCATCCAGGTTAATACATGAGATATTAGTTCACCATTGTTTTATGGCTGAATAGTACTCCATGGTATACATATACCACATTTTATTAACTGATTCATGTACTGATGGGCATTTGGGTTATTTCCATATCTTTGTGACTGTGAATTGTGCTGCTATATAAACATTCAGGTGCAGGTGTCTTTTTTATAAAATGTCCTTTTGTCCTATGGGTAAATACCCAGTAGTAGGATTGCTAGATCACATGGTAGGTCTACTTTTATTTGTTTGAGGTTTCCACATACTGCTTTCCATTGAGGTTGTATTAGTTTACAGTCCCATCCCACCAGCAGTGTATGAGTATTACTATCTCTCTGCATCAATGCCAGCATTTGTTGTTTTGGGGTTTTGGGGTAAAAGCCATTCTCACTGGAGGTAAGTGATATCTCATTGTGGTTTTGATTTACATTTCCTTGATGAGTAGAGACTTTGAGCATTTTTACATGTTTTTTGGCCATTATTTTATCTTCTTTTGAAAAGCTTCTGTTCATGTCTTTTGCCCACTTTGTAATGGGATTGTTTGACTTTTTCTTGCTTATTTGCTTGAGTTCTTTGTAGATTCTGGTTATCTATCTATACGTTTATCAAATGTATAGCATGCAAATATTTTTTCCCATTGTGTAGGTTGTGTATTCACTCTATGGATTGTTTTCTCAGCTGTGCAGAAGGTTTTTAATTTCATCAGGCCCCATTTATTTATTTTT